CCCTCCCCAGCCAATAAAGCGCAGGGCCACTCACCTCGGCATCAGGAGCTCCGCGTGCCGGGGCTGAGAGGGAGGTGGAGAGCCAGTCTCCAGGGCGGCCACACCGGCTTCAGGATGGAATTCGCCAAAAAAAAAGCACCTTTCCCGTCGGATCTGAGAAGCGTTTTCCTAGCTCCTTCTCTCGCCTTAAATCTAGCGGGACCAGGCGCAAAGCCTCCTGGGTAAGCACATGCTGGAGTCATAACACCTGGGGTGGGATCTGGCTCCTGTTAGCAGCGAGGTGATTGGGGCAAACTACTCAGCCTCAGGGCCAGGTCTCCACCTTTACGGGATTACACCAGGAACATGTGTTACCTGTTTAGGAGAGTAGTGCCCGGTCCATGGTTAAATACTGATTTTTAAAAATTTCAACGAATTCTACTTAACACTCTTGACAGATGGAGCTAAGGTTTTAAAAGGAAGGGAGACAAGAAGTCAGGGGAGAACAAAGGAATATAGTGGAAGCTTGCAGCCTGCTTTCACCCCCATCCCCAGGGTGCCACTGAGTTTGGGAGTTCCCGACTTCCAACTTTTATTCCGTCCCTAATTAAAGGCATAAATTTGAACTGCGAAATCAGAGAAACCCGGGAAGAAAAACACAATAGTCGCAGCAAGTTAAAGCCAAAGGCAAGGCCTCCCCCCCCCCCCCCCCCGACTCCTCCGCGTGCCCATTAGAAAGGATGCTTGGGTGCAACCCACAGGACCCCAACAGAGAGCAGCTGGTGCGTGAACCGCAGGCTGCGCAGGTGAGCGTGCAGGCAGCGCCGGGCTCTGGGGTCCAGTTCCCAAGGTGAGCAGTTGCTGAGCTCATCTCTGGAAAGTTAATTATGGTTCATTCCCACAGTCACCAGGGAGAACTACAGCATTCTAAAGAAACCCTTAACACCCAGAGGTGGTAACTGGGCAATATAAAAAGCAAAGTAAGAGTAGCCAGAGGTAATTTAAGGCACTTTACATTTACAGTGAGTCAGACTCAGAGGAAAGACAAAAGTCAAACAATAAAATTATTGTATAGAGAAGGAAAAAAACAAGTAGCTACGGGAATATTGATGGTGCAGTAATCGTCTAAGAAATGACAAGAGGAAATATTAAAAATGGTCATTACTCTGATATTTAACTATAAAAAAGATGTACATAAAAATCACAATAACTTCAGTATTTCAGCTTATAGGTGTCTCTCCCCCCTCCCCCCTATTTCGGTATTCATTTCCCTCCATTTTACATATTTAAGCATGTGTTTAGAAATATGATCATCCTTTCTGGGCTAATACAATTAAAAGGATTGCCTACATACTGGAACTAGCCCTGTGATGTTATAACTCCTCACTAGATCACTTGTCATAACCCAGTGATTCCCAAACTTTGCTGGAAATTAACTAGGGAATTAAAAAAAAAATATGTCCTTGTGTTCAGGTCACATCCCATATTAATGAAATCAGAATGTCTACGGATGGGAGTCAGGTCTCAGTATTTTAATCTTTTAATTAAATGTAGAGAAACATTAATTTGTTCCATATATTTGCATGTGCCCTGACCAGGAATCAAGCCTGCACTTGGGCGTATTGGGACAACACTCTGAGCTACTACTTGGCTAGGGAGGCCTCAGTAATTTTTAAGTCCTCCAGATTATTCCAAAATACAGCTACGTGAAAACCAGTGAACGGGTGAATTTCCCCACTGCTCATGAAGATAATTGCTTACATGATAAAAACTTTAGCTACAGTCTTTTAAAGGGATGGCATATCATTTACACTTTGGATTTATTTTTTTTAAAATATATTTTATTGATTTTATACAGAGAGGAAGGGAGAGAGATAGTTAGAAACATCAATGAGAGAGAATCATTGATCAGCTGCCTCTTGCACACCCCCTACTGGGGATGTGCCCGCAACCAAGGTACATGCCCTGGGACCCTTCAGTTCCCAAGCCCACGCTCTATCCATTGAGCCAAACCGGTCCTGGCTACACTTTGGATTTAAAGACAAGACTCTCTGTCCTGGGATAATGGTGAGTTTCCATACACTAACATTTGAAACACTATAGTTTATGCTTTTTTGTAAATCTTGACTCCCTGTAAATTTAAGAATCAATGTCTTCCTGGGGGGAGGGAGGAAGTAAAATCATCCAGGGTTAAGTGATGACAGAAAATGACTGCCAGATACTTGACCAGAACAAGGTGAGAAAAGGTCAAATGCACTGGTTTAAAATAGGATATTTCGGAGCTGGGGTTTAACTGCTCAGTTCTAAAGAAAAACAAAAATGTCTTTCAGAAGACCATGTTTCTGACAATATCACTGCAAATTTAGAACATCACACTAAATATTTGTTGACTTTGCTACCATTTCTAGCAAGAAAGTGACTACCTCCTACATAGTTATTAACACAATTCCATTACCAGACTTGAAATATATTTTCTCTAGGTTATAAATTTAGAGACTACAATTTATAGACTAAATCCTGAAATTTAAAATGGCTATCACTGACAAATCCATAAGCTTCTCAAAGGGCAAGGTCTACATAGTCAAGGTTGCAGATCCCCTTGCCAGGGTTTGAGATAACACAATTTAATACAGTAATGAAGACAAAAGTACATCTCTATGCTCTCTCTCTGGAAAGAATGTTCACCACTGCACTTTCATTCCAGGTCTCTTTTTTTTTAACATTTTTCATAGTACCCTCTTGAGAGGATATTACCATCATCCTATAGCAGAGGCATGCCATTCATTCACCATTTTCAAAGATAGACAATAGTTCATGGGTTAAGAATAAAAACTACTGGACTCCAAAATTCAGTCACTTTTTATTGACTTTGTTAATGTTACAAGAGTTCTTGCACTGCCAAACCATGCCTGAGAATTCAAAGAAAGAAATGGTACAATGGACATCCTCTCCAACCCATCATACAGCATATTAAAACTTGATTCATGTGCATTTGACAATTTCACAATCTTAAAAAGTTGTAACAAGAGGTGGTTTTCAATCTCCTGCAGGTCTTCAGTTTCCTAGTACAGTAAGCCATTAAATAAGTTCCACATACCCATCTCAGTTCATTCCTCAGTAATGTAACCCTCAACAAAATTCTGCTGGGAAAAAAAAATGCATACTTTTCAGGGAAAATATGTGGCTCAAGGTCCAAGAGATTTAAGATTTTTGGTTCCCAAATGAAGTCTTCAGTTTAACCAAGAATCCCTTATTTCTCGCTTAATCATCCAACCTCTCCTTGGTTTGCTCAGCAACTCGTCCAAACACGTCTGAAGGCGGGCACCCCGGCCCACCACCTCAGAGAACACCAATATTATTGCCCAGGAATGGTTGGCAGTCCCGTCAGGAGACCTGGAGCCCCCCAGGAGTCCGATTCCTGTGTTGACACTTTTATCAAGGCTAAATTCCCACAGAAATATGCTCCCGTATCAGGACAGCTTTACTCACCGGCTTGCTTCACTCTTGCCAGTAGCAAGTCTGCAACTCCCCCCATTTGGCAAAGGGACTTATTACAGAGAAACCAGACTCTGCATCAAGTGGCCGCACACCACTTTGACATATTTCTATTGAACCAAAGATACAAAACTAGGAAATTATCGAACTATCTCATTAGATGGAAAGAAACTTTTCAGTAAACCTGGCTATCTTCCTGAAGTCCCTTTTGAGGACTAAAAATGACTGAATAGTTTAGGTGTAATTATTAAAACAGAAGTGCTACATCGCCTGTGGTTTGCCCCTGATTTTAAATGAACAGCATAAAGACACACCAGAGGGTTGATAACAGAGCTACCCCGGAACAATCTTCAGAATGTCCAGGAACTTAAAAGTTTGGGCACAAATATATCTGAAATTGTCAAAGACTATGCAAGATCCATGAAACCTAAGTGGGTTTTAGGTTGAAGTTCTGCTCACGCTGCTGTGAATTTGTAAGAATGGGTCAGTGGATCCCCTTGGTCTGAGCAGAAACCATCCTCTCCCACTGCAGTTAGCTTTACAATGAGACCTGATTGGAGGAGGCTGTAGCAGCACCTGAAGTAGAGCCCCCTGCACCCACTGCCCTTCCATCAAAGGCTTTTTGGTTCCCCTGGAGGGATTGGCAATTTCACAATTCCAATGTGTATTTCAGGTCACTTACTTAACCAAGCAATATGCTCTGTCAAAGAACTTCTTCCAAGTCAAAGCAAAAAAGGCCTTAATGTGGAACATAGAGAAAGCACTACCCCAAGGAAAATTACTAAAAGAAACAAGATTATTCCCTCCCATGCCCCCCTCCCCACTTGGTGGACCCAAGTTTCGTTGACTTTGTGGTTACCTCAGAATACAACTCAAAGTTTAAATTAGAAATCCCAGCCCTACACAGAGCACTGAACACATCTGTTCTTCTGAGAGCGGCACGTTCCAGCCACAGCCCACTACAGAGCGCATTCCCGGAGGGTGGGGCACAGGACAGGTTAGTTAAGGTCACTTAAATCTTCATCTTTTACAGCAGATCAGAACCCAGACGCTGACTCTCTGCAGGATTTCTGATAGGAATCCAGTAGAGCTGGTTTTAAGTTCCTTGTCGCCACTTAAGAGCTGTAACGTTCTAATCCAGAAGTTGTGATCCACATGAGTGCAGCAAATCTGAGGTAGTCAACCTTACAAAGGCTCAGAATCTGAACATAAAAAGATTTTGAAATGACCACTGGCTGCCATTTTTTGTGGGTTTGTTGTTTTTTTTTTTGTATTTGCAGAGTAATTATTATGAGAGAACACTGCTGAATCTAGTTCACACATTTATAACAATGAGAATCCTCCTAAATTCAATATACACAGAGCAGTTGTGACACTTGAACTTCCATAGTGCGATAGGGCCGGTCACTTATATCGAGGGGTCTGCATCGGTGGCTGTCGGTCCAGCAGAGATCGGATGATGAATGGCTGTTCATGGTGGTTAGCGGTGGTCTAGTTACCTTGGAAGGGGTAGCAAAGACCATTCCTTAATTGTACTGTGTGTGGCTGTTTGTTTGATTTTCAAGCACAGTGTACTGGTTGTCTAGCTGAAGTTTAAGGGCCTGGTTTTTTGAAACCTCATCCCTACCTCTAGTTTTGTGTCTTACTACTTCAAAGCTCTTCTCCATTTCTTTATCCCTAAGGGAAAATAAACGTAATCAGTAAATATTTCTTGAGGTTTAAAAAAAAATATTCTTCCTTGAGTTAAAAAAAAAAAAAAAAAAAGCCACCCCTTAGAGGAATCTTGAGGGACAGGAGAGGAAAACGGTCTATAAAATCCTTATCAAACCATTTTTAAGGCTTCAATTGAACAGAAAACATAAAACACTGCAACTGAAGCTCCATGGCCCCATTTCCTATGCTAGCAAATCTACTGTAATGTTCAGTACTGTTAACTGCAAATCTATTTGGGACCAACTTGAAGACAACTGGAAAGTTAAAAAGCTCTGTGATAACATGGTGATTCCTTCTGAGACTCACTTTTACTGTTAGCAAATAATAAGCAATACATCTCTCTTTCCTTATGTATAAGCAAGAGTACCAATTTTCTCACTCATTATTCAATGACTCAAGTTCTCATTATTCAATGACTTCTCCTCCCTTCTACTTCCCGGGAGTGGATCAGATAAGGAGTGTGCCGGATCACTGCCCCTGGTTTTGTAGGACAGGGCAAAGGAGCAAGTCCAAGTGGAAGTTTAAACTCAAGCCAGCTGTGGTCTCAAAGAGGCAAAACAGCTGGGATTTACTTTAAAAGTCACCCTCCCCTCCCAAACAATTACATCCAGCTAATCATTTAATTTCTTCCCACTTTATTTAACTTTTAAAACTCATGGCCCTAACAGATGTGGATGTGCCATATGTGGTCATTTAACTCCAGGTAGCATTCATTTTAAGTACCTGCTGAAATAAGATTTTAATATTAGATTTATAAATTCCAAAGTCTTCCATCTACTCACATTTACTGGGAATATAACAAAATAGTCCTCTTTCATGTCCAGTTTGCACATTATAAGGAGCATAAAACAACAATGATATATTTGTAAAGAATTCTAATTTGTAAAAATGACTCAGCAGCTTAGTCATAGTTACAGAACAAAAACCAGGGGTAAGGGAAACTTGTGCAAAAGTCTTTGGTGCTCCTCCCCATCACCCCTCCTGGGTACATGAGTCCCACTCTAAATTCTCAGCTGCCTGTCTGATGCAGTTTAGAATTTATCCGTTAAGAGCACCCCTTCCTCATGGGCTTTTGTATCTCCTACACCCATCCCACTCCACACCAAGGGAATAGTCCCAAAACACCATGTGGGAATTACTTACTTTCGGCTTTCTACATGCTTGGCAGTGGACTGCAGGGATGGGAACTGTGTATCACTGTATATTTCAGGTGGTCCTTGTGGTGTTTTCCTTGTTGTGGTTAACCTGGCTCCAGGAGGCCTATACACACCACTAGTCATTGCCGGTTCTGGGGTTTCTGTAACTAACATTTCATAACAGTTTAGAGAAAATATTCAGAAGTTTGGCATTTTAATAAACCAGCCCTGTAAAGAACTTTAGTTTCTCCTCTGATTAGAGGGGACGACATGGGAGGTTTACAAATAGCCTAGGACATGCTCTGCCATATCTGAAAAGATCACTCTTGCTGCTGTTAGACCAGATAAGAAACCGTCTCAGTAATTCATGTAACAAAATGACAGTTCAAAGCCAGGGAGTAGCCATGGAACTGCTAGAACTAGTCATATAAAGAGTAATTTACTTTAAAAGTAAGCCCAAAACAAATTTATGGACACATTAGATTTAGGTTTGGAGCAGGAGAGGCTTTGTCAAAGGTGACTGCAGCTCTGGCCAGTTTGATTTAGTGGCTAGAACGTCGGCCTGTGGACTCAAAGGTCTCAAGTCAAGGGCACATGCTTGGATTGTGGGCATGCAAGAGGCAGCCAGTCAATGATTCTCTCATCACTGATGTTTCCATCTCTCTCTCCTTCTCCCTTCCTCCCTGAAATCAATAAAAAAAATTAAAAAAAATTTTTTTAAAGAGGTGACTGCAAAGTTTATGCTAAGTGACTGAAATTACAGCACTGAGATAAGAGTATGGAGTGCAGCACATACATGAGCTGTTTTAGACATGTTGAGAGTGAGGTGCTGGGTAGGCAGTTAAGATAAACATGTTTGGAATGCAGCAAAGCTCTGCTAAGATGTGAATTTGCAGGTCATTAGCATATAGAGAGACTGCCAAGTGAGACTGAGCCAACCAACAGAGGGGCAGAATTCAGTGTCCTGGAAACCAACAGAAGAACGTGTTTCAAAAGGGTGATCAACTGTGGCAAATGTTGCTGATGGGACAAATCAGATGAGGACTGAGACCTGGGCAATGGGTTTAGCAATGCAGAAAGTAGTAGAAATCACTGACAGATGCAGTTTGAAAAATAAGAAGATAAATGAAGAAACTTATACATAGCAAAATGCCAGAACGGATGCAAAAATACTGACATAGGAGTTATCTGTGATCCCTGGAAGTAAGATTTGGGGTGATTTATTTTTGTTTATATTGGTCTAGATAGAATAATGGGTATATATTAAAGCAGTGATTTCAATCAGTGTGCCACAAGAATTTTTAAAACATGAACACCTATTTAGTCAGGGACACTGACCTCTTTGACAATAGCCAACCACAACAATCACATGGTGTGAATGAATAAAAATTATACCTTTTTTGTCAGCTAGGCAAAAAAATATACTTTTCAGTGTCAGAATTTTAGTAATTATTTCATGTGTGCCACGAGATGAAAAAATTTGAAAATCATTGTATTCAAGCATCGTTTCTCAAACTTCCTTTTCATTATTGCCCTCAGCATTTTTAAACAACTTTTTCCTAATCACCGCTGCCTCCCTCCCTCAGAAATGTTAATACTACAAATACACACTGTACATCTGTTTACATACTTGGGCCCTCTGATGGGTCACAAAACCACTATAAGATCTAAGGTTTCACCCTAGCCAAGTAGCTCAGATTGTTAGAGCATTGTTTCAACATGCCATGGTTGTAGATTCAATCCCCAATCAGGGCACATACAAGACTCAATCAATAAATGCATAAATAAGTGGAACAACAAATTGATACCTCCCCCCTTCCTTCCTCTCTATCAAAAATAAATAAATAAATTAATTAATTAATTAATATAAAAATTGCCGGGCCGGCTGTGGCTCAGTGGTTGAGTGTCGACCTAACCAGGAGATCACGGTTCAATTTCTGATTGGGGCACATGCCCAGATTTCGGGCTTGATCCAGTGTAGGGTGTGCTTGAGGCAGCTGAGCCAATCAATGATGTTTCTCTCTCTCTCTCTCCCCTCCTTTCCTCTCTGAAAAATGTAATATTTAAAAAAATAAAATAAAAACAAAATTGTCTTTAAAAATTATACAAAAAAAGTCTTAAGATTTCATTACCCACCCCTGGGAGTGATAAAATCTGCCCCTCTGAGAATTCATGCTTCAAGATAGTAAAATGGGGAATGGGGAAAAAAAAAAAAAAAAAAGACAAACATAGGTGAAACACAGGTAGCCAATATTTCTTAGTCAGCTGTCTAAAATTGAAATGCTTAAATATCTGAATTTGGCAAGTTAGTCTACATAAAAATTTAGTTAGCCGAAAAAAAGCTTGTATCTTAACTTCCAAATTCCTTTGAATGTGAAAGTATTTAGGCCTCCTTCCCAGGAATGGAAATGAGCCCTACTAACCCCACCACAAACATGCATTTAGTTGAAAGTTGACCACATATAAAATTATACCTAGACATTTTCATGGAAATGAAATATTAAACTTACCAATTACTGGAGCAGGAGGTGCTTGTACCGGAGCTGTTTTATTCCAGGGACCTGAAGATTTTTCTACACCACCACCACCTCCTCCACCTTCTTCCCAATTATCACCAGGATCTTCTCTTTTTTCATTATCATCTTCTTCCTTTTCACTATTGAAAAAGCAAGTGAATTCAATTACAGAACCATCAGGAAGACTGGCAGTCCAAATTTTTAGTTCTATCAATGCTGGTTTTGTATGACCCTGGAGAAGTCACTTAGGCTCTACAAAGTACATAAGCTTATTTGTTTAAAAGATAGAAAAATTGGGAATTTTCCTTATCTATCCAGTAGACTTTCACTTGGGTTCCGGTGAAAAAAGATTTCATGCTGAAAAAAGGTTTAAAAACCACATGGCCTGATAGTCTGCACTTCCCTTTTGAAATACTTAACACACCAATATGCTAGGCCATGACAACCTGATGATTATATATAGCAGCCCCAAGAAAGAGCAGAGCACCAGCTATTGGCTCAAGCAATGGAGGAAGGGTGACTGGCTTGTCTAATCTGAAATGCAGTGAAAAGGGCAACTTGAAGGATTCAAAGCACAATTACTAGATTTTTCTAGAAACAAAGTATACAACCATTTATGATAAGCTTATTTTTAAGGATGGAATGAATTGTTTTTGAAAGTTGTATGGGGGGGCAATGGTAAGATATGTACACAAATAATAATTTAATTTAAAAAATAAGCAAGTTAAAAAAAGGAAGAGAAAGTTGTATCTGTTAGTATGTGTTACAAAATACTCTCAAAATACAAGAGATCCTCAGTGGAACACAGCATCCTAGCGTGCCTGCAGTTTTTTTTAATGCCATTTTAAAATGTCTTTAGTCTTGAATCGACTTGAGTCAGAAACCTGTGATTTTTCTCAGGGTTTCTTTGATTATTTCTCCTTTGGCTAGATTACTTATGATTTTACATAAACGATGTTCTACAAGATCAAGCACACGTCTCACTTCTCTATACTGCTGACTTCATGGCAGGGAGAGAACTGCCAAATCAAACTTCCTTTCTGTAACTCTTGCCCTTGCTGATGATGCACCTGGCACAACCACCAACCTTTCCCCTGAATTCTCTCCCGTACCAACGGTGGTTTTCCCTAGGCCTTCAGTTTATCAATCTCCACTATTCGAACTACACTTTTCCCTGTTAAAAAACAACAACGAGGCTGTTGTCTAAAGCTCTGACCCTGGGCCTTCATCCTTTTAGACACTTTGATATCTGATCCAAGATCACGGCCCTAACAATGTACAGATGACCCCCATGCTGACCATGTGACCTTCAAACATCGCGGCCTCTCTTGACTTTTGCACAAGAACATTTAAGGGTTCTTTCTTCCATTTCTTTTAAAACAAGACAAGTCCTGGCTATGAAACAATTTTCCTCTAAAGACACTTCTGAACTGTCCAACTGGATGAGATTCTGGAACTTAGGCTTAGGGTGGCAATCGGGAAGGGGAAAAGGGAACAAACCAACTGTATCTTCACTCTGCATCTACAGCAGGACTTATTTAAGATATGGCCAAGTGAGGCTTCAGTTTTCCTTTTTGTTAACAAAGAATCCTATGAATCCATTTAAAATGTTACCCCTATACTAACACGGAAGTAATCTTCATGTCACACAAACTTACTAAAACAAAATTTATACATACACTTAAAATAGAAAGACATCTAGAATCTCTTTAAAATGTTAAAAGAAGTAGCCCAGCCAGCGTGGCTCAATGGAAAGTATGGACCTATGAACCAGGAAGTTACAGTTCGATTCTGGCTCAGGGCACATGCCTGGGTTGCAGGCTTGATCCCCAGTGTAGGACATGCTGATCAATGATTCTTTCTCATCATTGATGTTTCTATATCTCTCCCTCTTCCTTCCTCTCTGAAATCAATAAGAATAAAAATAATAAAGCATATTGTTTTTTCTAATTCACAAAAAAAGTTAAAGAAAAACTCCTTTAGTCTGATAGAATACTGAGAATCACAAGTAAAGAAAATTCTTTTATGTCTAGTATTTATCACCTCTTTACCTTAGAGAAAAGTAAATAATCATAGAATCTAAAACTACTGCTAGATGATAATCTTATTAAAAAGTAAGAGTGAGCCAAAACCAATTTGGCTCAGTGGACAGAGCCGTCGGTCTGTGGACTGAAAGGTCCCAGGTTCGATTCTGGTCAAGGGCATGTACCTTGGTTACAGGCACATCCCCAGTAGGAGGTGTGCAAAAGGCAGCTGGTGGATGTTTCTCATCGATGTTTCTAACTCTATATCCCTCTCCCTTCCTCTCTGTAAAAAATCAATATATTTTAAAAAAAAATAAGAGTGATCTGTTTAATTATACAACATATCTATAATGGGCACAAAATGACAACCTAGTATTTTGGCTTCTTAAGATTCTGAAGTATTAGCTAAACTAAACATTGGAAATTGTATAGTCAAGACCCTTTATCCAATAGAGGGAGATGCTAAGAGCTTTGCCAAAATGCCACAGTAATAACGGCAGGGTAGAAATTATTTAAATACCTTATTTTTTTCATATTTACATATTTCAAAATGTCCTATCTCCAAATATCAAAGCCAGAACAAGATCCATGTTGCAAACACAATTAGGCTAAAATTATATCTGACCCACATATAATATATACCTTCCCATCAGCTAAATTTGATGATTTTAAACACTATGACGTTACTGTTATTTCAGTATCACAATTCACACAGTATTGTCTTAAATATGCATGCCTGTAAAGCACTATTGTGGGGTAGGGGAGAGTGATGGCGCTGAAAAGGAGTATTTACTGAATATCTACAATGCCAGGCAGCCATTTACAGACTTTAATAAAGTTAAACTGGACTTTAATAAAGTTAAACTGGAATAACGAAGCAGGGAGAAAACCCATTGTACACATATGAGGAAACGGATACTCAGACATTTAAATATTTTCCAGGGCTACAAAGTAGCAGAGCTGTCAGTGGGACTCCAAAGGTTATATGCTTTCAGGTAATCTCTTATTTTATCCTCTTTCCAGTTCTAAGATAGGGCACAGAAATTCTCTATTTTGAGATTTGAGGAATTCACTTTCTTTATTAAGTTTGTTCAGGATTACACAGCCTACAGCAGTATATTTATAAAGAACAGAATGTTCTTACCTCCTTATCTCAGGTTACACGAGAACTTATGTATCCTTAACCCTCCCAAACTCTCTTCCCTAACATTAGGGAGAAGCAGCTAAAACAAAATTCAGACATGACCCTGCTTTGCTGGAATGCTGGTTTCACACTATTATCCAGCAACTGTTACAAGAGTAAAAGAGGGAGACAGAAATGGCCCCACAGCTATGCCTGGTGGCTTAAATATCACTGCACCTCATGCAAGGACTCTTACTCTACCTCTTCCTGGTAGACTTAGTCTCTCTCTCCTGTAGCCCACAGCACCCTGCATAGTATCACTGATGTTTAGTAGAGCATGAGCTATTTTTACGACCATAATGTGTGGCACACAACAGTAGTCACAAAAATTTGCTACAATAGATCTAGTTTGGATGCAGAAGCAATTTATTCTCTTCAAAGGACAACTTAACCAGTCCTACTGAATGGGTAGAAACGCTCAACATTTAGTAATCTAACCGCAAGTACTAAATGAAATATTTCATTCTCCTAAAGGTCTATTTTAAAGATGCGAGAGGCCTACAGATCCTACTATCAACCAATAACCTAAGCTCAAGTGGTAGGTCCCTTCAATCAACTCAATGGCTTCCCACTTAAGAACTTATCTATAAATAACATGACTTTGAATAAAATCTATTTAGACACAAAATTTGACACATTTCCTTATAATACTCTTGGTACTTAAATTTCAGGCTACTTGGTAAATGTGAGCTAGGACATTAATACAGTATGTCTGTTGCTACTAAAAATTTTCCTTTCAAATTAACACTTATCTATATCTGTAATAATAAAAGTGTAATATGTTAATTAGACCAGACATCCTCTGGACAAAGTTGGGGCTGCAAGGGAAGCTGGTGCCAGCAGCTGGAGAAGGAAGGTAAATCCTTGCATGAATTTTGTGCATTGGGCCTCTAGAGTGTGTGTGTGTGTGTGTGTGTGTGTGTGTGTGTGTGTGTGTGTGTGTGTGTATATATATATATTAGGCTAATAGCAAAGTGTCCCCTTAAGCGTTCAACCAAGAGCTCCACTGCTCACTATGACATGTGCTGGCCACCAGGTGGCGGTGCAGAACGAAGGAAGGCCCCGGCAAGGCCTAGGAACCCTTCCTGTGCAGGAATATCATGCACCAGACCTCTAGTCTGCAATAACGGTCTGATTTGGTAACCTACTATATAGACAGTGTGGAATACTTCAAGACTAGATCAATATCTGCAACTAACTAAAGATAAAGCAAACATGGCAAAAATGATTGGTAGCCCTAGCTGGTTTTGCTCAGTGGATAGAGCATTGGTTTGTGGACTGACAAGTGACAGGTTTGATCTGATTAAGGTCACATGCCCCGATTGATACCCAGTAGAGGGTGTGCAGGAAGTACATAATCAATAATTCTCTTTCATCATTGATGTTTCTATCTCTCCCCTACTCTTCCTCTCTGAAATATATATATAATTGACAATATATATATATATATATATATATATATATATATAAAGATTGATAGATGTAAGCAGAATAGAAGGTACTTTTTTTCTTTACTATTCTTGCAACTTTTCTGAAGTTTGTAATTCCCCAAAGCAACGAGTTGCAAGAAAAAAAAGACTATAAATTTCAGAATATATATTTAATTCACCTGAGAGAAAGGAAGGGAGAAACAACAATCTATTGCCTTGCACATGTTTAATTGGGGATCGAACCCGCCACCTTTTGGTGTATTGGATGATGCTTCAACCAACTCAGCCACACAGACTAGGGCAAATTTCAAGACATTTTCAGTCAAATTCCAATGTTTCATTTTCCTTGTCCCATAGAGAGAGAGCAAGGCTGCCTCTCTCCTACACTGAACACTCAGAAGGATTTCTGTCTGCATGGTTATACTAACACCAACCCGAACATGTCACTTTCTCCTATTGCGACCATAATGAACTGACTCACTGGAGTCTGACGTGATTAGTCATGATAGCCTTAAATGACTTCACTACTCCCCCTTTAATTTGAGTCTTATAAATCAGGTGTCTTGTGGTTAAACAGCAGAGAAATTCCCAAGAGTAAGTCATTCTATTTACCCACTTATCTTGATTAATATTAATCAAGTGGGTATTTTTTTAAAATATATATTTTATTGATTTTTAAAATATCAATAAAATATCAATATTGATTTTTAAAATATCAGGTACAGAGAGGAAGAGAGAGGAATAAAGAGCTAGAAACATCGATGAGAGAGAAACATCGACCAGCTGCCTCTTGCACACCTCCTACTGGGGATGTGCCGGTTTCAGCTCAAGTGGGTATTTTATAAACATCCTGTTCAATGTCCTCATAGCACTATAGAGTAGTCATCCCAGTCTTGCAGGTAAGAACATTCAAAAATAGCCCTAGCCAGTTTGGCTCAGTGGATAAAGCGACACCCTGCAGACCAAAGAGTCCCAAGTTTGATTCCGGTCAAGGGCATGGACCTCAGTTGCAGGCTCCTCCCCAGCCTGGGCCCCGGTCGGGGCTGGTGCAGGAGCAACTGGAGGCAACCAACCGATGTATTTCTCTTACATCGATGTTTCTCTGTTTTTCCCTCTCTCTTCCTGAAAAAATCAATGGAAAAATAATCTCGGGTGAGCATTAACAAAAGGAAAAAAAAACCTCATTAAAAAAAACACAAGATCACACACAGGCAGGGGCAAAATGCAAACCCAGGTTTGTCTTTCTCCTGAAGCCCATCTTTTTGCCACGTTATCAACTCCATCCCATTGGTGAAACGTGTCTTTCCTTGGGGACCCTATCAAGTCCATGGTCAAGAACATTTAATTTGCAGTTTATATGGATATTAGTATAAAGTGAAAATCTTGGTCTCTTATTAAACTTCAGATGGCTTCTCACTCTCAAGCCTTCCCCAGGAGCTGTTAGATTTCCCTTTTTGAATGATTTATAAAAATGCAAATACAGACCCCAGACTCCATAGTGATTGAGGACCCACAAAAGCAGCTTCTTGAAGATATGTTTTTCAATGTTAGTAGGTTAGAGGAAGACCTCTGAATGGCCACTTAGGGGCAGTGACTATATGGTAAGAATAATGAAAAACACACAATATAAAAGCTGGTCTACCTCAGGTCAAGCAGAACTTAAACGCTCATCCTAGCTGAAATTTATTTATGCTCCTGGCAAAGGTGAAGGATGTAAGTACAATGGAACCTCAGTTCTAGAACCTAATTTGTTCTGGCTGTTCAAGAAGCAATTTATTAGAAAACCAAAATAATTTTTTCTCCCATTAAAAATAATATAAATTGAATGCATTTCAGACCCTAAAATGATTCCTTTTTAAGCTTTCTTATGTACAGTATATTTCTAAGCTCTATTATTATTCTCACAACTTTCCTTTTCACTTTGCTATCACTAACCTTCTTAGAACTTATGGAGACTTACTGTATGTATTGAATAATCAAATCGGCACGAAAGAGTTGAACCCTCAAAAACAGAAATTTTGTTTGACAACTGAATTTAAGGAATGTTTCACCATCTTGGGAGTACCCGAAATGAAAAACAGCCTTGACTATGGATATGGGATATATACTTAATGACAAACAGGTGGTTTAAAATCCTTCATAATAAAAACAAAGTCAATGTCTAACATTAACTTGAAACATTTTTCCCTCCAAATTTCTACTCGCTAAAGTTCAACATGAGCAAACACTATGCCTCCAGTCATTCAAGTCTCCTCCAAGAATATGCAGTCAGAAGAGGCAGATTAAGAGCCTTATTCCATATCAAAACAGGAACCACACACACAGGCAATTCCATAAACCCAAACGGTTAAGGACTAAAACTGCTACTTAACACCAAGACAGAAGAACCTCAAGAACGGAGAAGCTATATTTCCTCAAAGTTCCCACCATCAATCATGTTTCACTTTGGTTAAGCTCTCATGAAATGATGTGAAAAAAGGTAGGACATTAATACCTAACTGTGGTAGATATTCAATAGATGCCAAAATTAGCCCTGGTTTTTGAATGAGAATTTTAAGGCCATAAATATTACCATCTAGAGAGGGGAAAAGACATTATTTCTTTAAGGAAAATTTCCTCCACCGTGCCAACTGCAAACTGGGATTAAAGGGTTTTATTTTATTTTTTTATTTTTTTAAAATATATTTTATTGATTTTTCACAGAGAGGAAGGGAGAGTGATAAGAGAGCTAGAAACGTCGATGAGAAACATCAACCAGCTGCCTCCTGCACGCCCCCTACTGGGGATGTGCCCGCAACCAATGTACATGCCCCTGACCGGAATCGAACCTGGGACCTTTCAGTCTGCAGATGGATGCTCTACCACTGAGCCAAACCGGTTTCGGCTGGGATTAAAGGGTTTTAAAACTTAAACCAACGGAAGCATATATTCACTTGTTTTTCCTGCATTTATTTACACAAATCTAAAATTGACTGCCACAGGTAGGACTTAAAATATATACATCTATTTTTTTAATGATTTCAGAGAGTTAGAAATAGAAACATCAGTGATGAGAACCACTGATCAGTGCCTCCTGTATGCCCCCCAGTGGAGAACGAGTCTGCAACCTGGGCATGTGCCTTGACCTGTAACCTCCTGATTCATAGGTCAACATTCAACCACTGAGCCACCCTGGCCAAGCCATAAAATACTTCTTAGTTTCAAATCTTGAGAAATTCAACCAATCCAATTTTTAAAAATTACCGTCTTCTTGCCCTGGCTTTAACCTCAATGGTTAAAGCATCAGCCCAAGGGGTTCTATTCCCAGTCAAGGGCACACATCTGGTTTGCAGGTTCTGTCCCAGGCCAGGTAGGGGGACGGGAGGGAAGCAACCAATTGTTATCTAATATTTATGTTTTGGATGTTTGTTTGTCTCTCTCTCCCTCTCTCTGAAAAACAATGGAAAGATTTTTCTCCCATGAGGATTAAAAAAAAAAAAAGTTACTGTTTCTTAAACTGTAAAAATAACCTGTTTGATTCCATTCCTATGAAATTCTGGGGAAAGTTAACCTACAGAGCTATCCTTGTGGGGTGAAGGCATTGGCTGCAGAGGGTGAGGAGGGGAGCTTTCTTATGTTCAGTTTCTTGACTGGTGCTGATTACACAGGCTGGTTTCACTGTGTGAATATATGAAACCTGTACTTCTCTGTAAGGATGCTTCCATTTCAAAAATACATATTACCCTGCTTATTGGAAAGGACCTGAAAACCATCCATGTTATTTTTGAGACACAAGGAAAAACTAAGCTCAACCCACAAATATTGTCTGTTTTTTTTTTTTGTTTTTTTTTTGGGGGGGGGGGGAGTAAATACTCTGAAACCACAAAATTAATTTTAGCTGTCTCAAAAAAAAAAAAAAAAAAAATCAACAAAACCTAACCAGGACTGAAAGTAGGTGAGCTCTCTCAGGATTTTGGAGCTGGCAGCTAATTTGATCAACATATAGAATGACTGCCATCACAGAGAGAAGGAATAGACACAATCTATTAAGAGCCCTAATAAGCATATGAAAAGTGCAAGGCTATTATAAAGAGAAACCAGACATAAATCACCTATCCTGAGGGTTATCTGAACATTATCTGTAACCAGGCCGTACCTTATTTGCATCGCCTGAACTCTGAGGCCGCTGTAATCCACCTCTTTCTGCTCAAATTCTTTCCACTCGTCTTCATCCTGTAAAAGCACACATACCAAATTGATCAATTAAAGCCATTCCTAAAAGTACGGCTCAGGCCAATATCAGGCACCACGGAGGGTGGATCACGTGGCTGGACCCTACAATATGGACTCATTTTCCGGGCCAGAGCCCTTGCCTGATCCCGAGAGGTCGACTAGGGCTGGAGGACACACGTGCCCTTTCCAGCGCTGTGACTTCCATCCGGTTCCTTTTTTTTTTTTTTTTTTATCAGAGCCGTTCATTCACAACCAACCAGGAAAAGCCGAACATGAAAAAAAAAAAAAAAAAGTCCACGGCGAGCCCACACCTACATGTCTACCACCTCAGTATCGCCATGGGAATCCTTTCCTTTCTCTCTCCCCGGCCTGGAGACCAAGTCAGTCATGCCCATGAAGAGTTGCTACAAACGCGATTGTTAATAAAAGAGAATTTCAAGCTCCGACGACCGGGCTGAAGTCTGAACGCAAAATCACTGGCACAGACGTCACTCGACAAATGCCGGGCGCTTCGGACCCAGACCCATCTCCCCGGACCCCCATGCGGCCGCCTCGGTCCCGGCTCAAGCCAGGCGGCCCCGGGCGCAGAGGAACCGGTCGGCGGCGAGGCGGGCCCGCAGGGGGTCCCGCCGGGAGGCTGGCCCGGCGAGAAGAGCCCGGTCACGTGGCCGGCCTCCGCGCCCGGCGGCCCCGGGCCCCTCCCGGACGCCCCGCCAGCCAGGCAGCCAGGCCGGCGGCGCAGGCACATGGGCGCCAGCGCGCGGCCCCGGCCCCGGCCCCGAATCCCGGCCCCTCACCTTCGTCACGGCCTTGGTGGCGGCCCCAGGGCCCGCGGCCCCCGCGGTCCCGCCGTCGCCCGGCCGGGCCCCTACGCCCGCCCCGCTGCTCGCCGCGCCCGCGGCTCCGCTGCTCCCGCCAGCGGCCCCCGCGGCGCCCGCGGCACTCGCCGCCCGGTTGCTGCGCTCCTTCTTCTTCTTCTTGTCCCTCTTGGCGAAGAAGTTGTCCAGGCTCCGCTCCTCCGTCTCGGCCATGGCCTTGGCCTCCTCGACCCGGATGGGTGGGGCCGGCGGCGGGAGCGGCCCGCGGGGCTCCGACCTCTGGGTCGACGCCGCCGGCTCGACGCTCAAGGCTCCCGGGTGCGGCGACGCCTCAGCCCCGCGGGGTGGCCGAGGCGTGTGCGGCCGGGCAGGCGGCTTCCTCTCCGCCTCCGTCCCCCCCCGCGAGCTGGCGGGCAGTGGTACGGTCCGCCTGATGGATCGCGCGCGCCGCTACTGGCGCCCGAGCCCGCCGAGGGCTACCGCTGCCGCCGCCGCCGCCGCCGCGACCCCGGCGCAGGGTCCCGGCCGCTCCGCAGTCGGAGGGGAAAAGGAACGCGCGGCCCGAAGCTCCGGCGTGAGTGCTCGGCTAGCGGCGGCGCGTGCGGGAGGACGCGCGCGCGCGCGCGCGCAGGCCCGGAGAGGAGGGGAGAAGGGGTGGGGAGGGGAGGGAGGGGGAGGAGGGAGGGCGGGCCTCCAGGAGAGAGGCCGCGTCCGCCCTGCGTACTACGATCCGCCCACCGCTGTGGGGGCGCGGCGCGGAGGGCGGCGGGCGGGGAGGAAGAGACGGAGGTGGGGCTGGAAAAGGAGCCAATCAGGTGCCGAGACGAAGCGCTTAGGCGACAATCCCAGCCACTGACGGGGTAGGGGGGGAAGGTCTATGCTAAATAGGTGACGTTAGGTTGACTCCGGTCTCCCGATTGGCGGAGGGTGTAGGCTGGAGGGTGGGCAGTTGGAGGGCTGGCTGGGATTGGGCGAGAGATGTTGAGAGAAGGGGTGGGTGGCCCTATTCTGAGCGCATGCGTGGCAGACACACATGCCCGCCCGCCCCGAGCGAACTGTGTTGCCTTGCGTTTTGCATCGGAGCGAAAGCGAAAAGACACCGAGTTATAAAAATGGGACCGCCCCTCCTCCTGCCTCTATACTTCCACCCTCTCCGGTCCGGCAATTATTCATTTTCATCTTTATGGGATGATGATTAGGAGAGTTGGGCTTACAGTTAGATCTCGTTTAAAGATCTTTAATAAACCAGTGGATAAGGTAAAAGGGAATTGATTTTGAACTCCACCCTCAAAGACATAGACGAAGTTCAAGTTCAAGCTAAATAAATAAATCTGATCCTCAAGCTCCTGATCCGGGAATCATTAGCTCTTGTAAAATAGATGGGGCAAGTGTAGGTGTTAGCTACACAGCAGAGTGCTTCATTAGATGCGAGAAACAGTGCCCCCTGCCCTGACTTGAGTCTGGATGACGACTGCAATTTATCGTTAGCTTTTATCCCTAATAAACGACCACAGGAATGGGGACAAAATGTCCATGCAAAACCTGGCGTTACCGTTTAAGTATTCTCCGAGCTTTGAGAATGAAATGAATCCTTGTAATGAAAAAGGTGGTCTAATGTAAGGTATTAAACTTTCACTTCCTCCTAAGGATAAAGGAGAAGACTGTTACAACCATGAAGGAAATGACTCGGACACGTGTTAACAACCTCACCGGATAGAGCACACACAGTAAATGGAGGCACCTCTTTGTCTTTTCCTTTACAGGTTCCCCATTTAAGGTTGTCCTCCCCCTCCCACCCCTGGACCATACCACTATATTAAAGAACTAAATCCAGAATATTATTAAAGAAATAAATCAAAGACCTAGCCTTGACCAATGACAAGTTTACATATTATTCCCTCAACTGTACTCAGGATGGGCCCCCTAGGTGACTTCCTTCTGTGACACTATTATATTCTGTGATGCATGCCAAGTTCAGTACTGCCCCCATCTCCACCTCCCTTCACATCTCCGACCAAATTACATTTCTTTTGTTCTGTATCTTCCTTCCTCTCTCTTTTCTTTCCTTCCGTCCCTTTCTCTCCCCTTCCTTTAGCTGTTCTTTATCTATGAAACACCCAGATACCTATAGTTAAGGCAGTATAGCTTATTCTAGGTTGAGTAATTTATTATTCCTGCCTTCATCTCAATTATAATCATAGAAGTGAAGATCTAGATATGAATAACTGAAATTCAGTCCTCCCCTTGCTTAGGTCTCAATATTATCAGTGTTTTGAAGGAATTGTTGAGTTGGGGAAATGCAGAGACCTTAGGAACAGCAGTGGAGGGTAGATACAGCCAAGTTCCCCATTACGTTTTTCGGTGTGATTGATGGCATGCTCCCAGAGCTCCATCAGGTGTAAGAACTTCAGGTCAGGCCAGTAGAGAGACCAGTGTCTTTGTGATTGTGTCATCGTCTATAATTAGTCTCCCTCCACGAAGCTGGACCTTCCTCTTTGAATCCCCTGCCCTGAAATGTCACCCGGGCGATGTTTTCATGTAGTTGTTTTAAATATCCCTGGCCACCCTCCTCCAGAACAGTTACACAGAGTGCTAATTCCTGCTATCACCAGCTCCCTCGTCATTATGCTGACAGCAAAACACCTTTCAGCTCTCTTTTGATGAAGGTATCTTTCCCTCTGCTTCTAATGTTTGGACTTTCCCCTTCTTTAAAGCAAAAACAGACCTTCGCTTGTCCTTGCTAGATGGAAAGTTGGATGATGGCGAGGATTCAGGTCATTCCCAGGTATTTGAGCACATCTAAGGATCCTGATGCTGTCTGAACATGGCTGTCTGGGTCTCCTGAAGTGGTACAATCCAAAGGACATCATGTTTCGCCCTCGACGAGGCCCACTGAGCTCCAATATTCTGTGAGCTCAAAAAGCTGGCAAAGGGCAGCTGGGCCTGGCCCCATTGTCCACGGGTTCTTTTTTGCTGATCTATTTGTTCCAAGTTCCATTCTGCTACCTAGGCTGGAAATTCCATACATGCTCAGCTCAAAGGAATGCAGCTCTTGCTGGCCAGAGAGCTAGCCAGGAAATGAGGAGCAACTTTGCATTTGTGGCTTCTTTTCACTTGTGGCTTCTTCTCTCACAGCTGTGAGGCAGACTGTGCTAGTGCCTGAGCTGTTCACCAGCCTCATCCAACGGGAGAGCAACCACTGTCAGGTCACCTCGTCCAGGGAACCTCTGCTGACATCTACGAGCAGCCTGGTTCCTGACCTTTAAAGGCCCAGAGACCTTTCATTTGTCATGGTATTTAATTCCTTCCTAGTATGTCCATTATTTGTTTAACCCCTTTATTTATGTACTTAAGTATTCATTCACTCATCATTAATGTGAACCCCTACTCTATACCAGGCCCTGTGATAGGAGTTAAGGGTTAGTAAATCAAACATAAGCCCTACCATTACAGAATTTACTATATGGAGCAGTCACACAAGTATACGTACAATTATAGCCCATTGAAAATCCTTGCAAGTAAGGAATAGTGTTGGGCAATAGAGCCTATATCACACAAATGTTTATTAATGTTTGCAAAATGTGAAATGTCTCCATTGGTTCTTAATTTTCCACATTAACAGGTGAATGTACAAACCATGTATTATCTAAAAGTGTTCCTCAGCCCGGAGGGTGTGGTTCAGACTGGGAGGTCATAGTTGTATTCCCGATCAAGACATTTGTCCAGGTTGAGAGCTCAATCCCCAGTAGGGGGCATGTAGGAGGAAGCCAATCATGGTTGATGTTTCTCTCTCCTCTTCCTTCCTCTCTGAAATCAATTATATAAATATATATATAATAAAAGTGGCCCCTAGACAGTTTGGTTCAGTGGATAGAGCATTGTGTTGGCATGGGGACCAAAGTGTCCTGGGTTCGATTCCCATCAAGGGCACATACCTCGGTTGTAGGATCCTCCCTGGCCCAGGCCCTGGTTGGGGCTCCTGCAGGAGGCAACCAATCAATGTGTTTCTCTCACTTCAATATTTTTCTGTCTTTCCTTCTCTCTCTCTTCCTCTATCTCTAAAAATCAATGGAAAAATACCCTCGGGTGAGGATTAAAAATAAATAAATAAATAAATAAATAAATAAATAAATAAATAAATAAAAGTGTTCCTCAGAATTGTTCTTTCTTGGCTTCAGAACATGTACTCTGTCACACATAACAAAGAATTCAACCTGAAGTCCCTCCTTTATCCATCCCTGACATTAGGCCCTAGTTGGAGGACAAATGGGCAGCAAGAGGAATAAGGCCCCAGACACAAGTAGCTACCCCAAAGAGCTTATTTCCAGAAAAAGCTGCCATGCATAAATGCTCCCCTAGCAACACCTACCACCAAGGCTTGCAAAAGAGCACTGGACTGCCAAAACCGGTTTGGCTCAGTGGTAGAGCGTTGGGTATCTGGTTATATACTTCAAATTTCAGACTCCTATAAGTTGGAATGCTGGGAGTCAGGCTTGTCCAGACTCATGAACCTTGGGATACTGACTTGGCTGTGAAACAGGTTCGGATCTATGGTACATTCATTAAGGTTCGATTCCGGTCAAGGGCATGTACCTTGGTTGCGGGCACATCCCCAGTGGGGGGTGTGCAAGAGGCAGCTGATCGATGATTCTCTCTCATCGATGTTTCTAACTCTCTATTACTCTCTCTTCCACTCTGTAAAAAATCAATAAAATATATTAAATTAAAAAAAAAAGAGCACTGGACTTATTAAGCCCTCCCCGCTAATGGTCTGCTGTTAGTTGGACCACATGAAGTTGCTGCTTTTTGATTGTTTTTAACCTACCAAAATTGCAATTTCATATGGTTCAACCTAAAATACTTGAGAATAAACAAACAAAGAAAAAATCCATAATTAATGAAGAGCTTGGGAATAACCAGTCTACCCATCCAGGTGACTTCCCTGACTTCATCTTAGGGGGAATGTGATGACAATAAAATGAACAACCTAATCAATTGCATTTTATCGAGAACACATGAAATAACAATGAGGGATAAGGAAGGAGAATAGGGAGAACAGTATGGAGTTTCCTCAAAAAACTAAAAATGGCACTCCCATTTGACCCAGTGATCTCACTTCTGGGATATCCCGAGAAACTAGAAACACCAATCAGAAAGGATATATGCATCCCTATGTTCATAGCGCCACAATTCACCATAGCTAAGATTTGGAAATAGCATAAGTGCCCATCAGCAAATGAGTGGATTAAAAAACTGTGGTATATCTACACAATGGAATAATACGCTTTGGTAAAAAAAATTCTTACCATTTGCAACAGCATGGATGGAACTGGAGAGCATTATTGCTAAGTGAAATAAGCCAGTCAGAGAAAAATAAATATCACATGATTTCATTTATGGAATGTAATGAACAACATAAACCGATGAACAAAAACAGATCCAGATACAGAGAAGTATCGATCAGACTGTCAAATCTCAGAGGGAAGGTAGGGGAGGGTGGAGGTAAGGGGGAAAGATCAACCAAAGGACTTGTATAAATACATATAAGCCTAACCAATGGACACAGACAACATGGGGGTGAGGGCATGAGTGGGGGGAGTGGGGAGTAATGGGATAAGGACACATGTAATAACTTAATCAATAAAGAAATTTAAAAAGAACAGAAAGAGGAAGGAAAAATAGTTGGGTAGAGCCAAAAGGCCAGAAGTTGGCACTTTATTACTTATTACCCACCACTGCCCATGAGAGAGAAACATGAAATTGGAGCTCACACAGAGGTGCCCTGCTATGAGGCAGAGATGACTCACTAAGCTCCACCCTGATTTGGATGACATCTGCTTCCCCTAACACATGGGAAACATCCACCAACCGGCCTGCTAATGACTCATTTGGCTTCCTGGGATTGCTGGTATTGAGAAAGGGGTGGCCAGCTGACACAGGAGGATTCCAGTTCCTGAAGGACTAACACCAAGTGTTAATAAATCAATGGGTATCTGGTTATATACTTCAAATTTCAGACTCCTGTGAGTTGGAATGCTGGGAGTCAGGCTCGTCCAGGCTCATGAACCTTGGGATACTGACTTGGCTGTGAAACAGGTTCAGATCTGTGGTACATTCATTAAGGTGGCCTCTTTGGGAGTCAGTCAGATGACTCTTGCACAAAGCAGAACCTTCTGATTCAATCATTTTATCACAGCGTGCAGGGGATGTGATTATGTTGGCAAGGCATGATATCTGTCCCTGACCCTAACTTCATTCTTAATCCTTCTTCATAACCCAACAGGTACATATGAAATTGCTGGCATTTTCTGCTCTGACTCAGAGCCACCCCAATCCTAGATATTCAGGTCAGGTCAGTAGGTCAATGGTATTGTCATCCTAACTGGGCTGCAAAGGCAGGGAAAGGCTGAGAGTATGGGGAGTGCAGAGAGATCTTCCATATCCGAAGGCAAGTCCTTAGTGCACCCTGCTCTTTGCTTCATGGTCAAGAGCATGCTTTCTGGAGTCAGCCCTTGATTCAATCACAGCTCTGCCTTTTCCTAGCAAGTCACCTAACTTCTTTGTGCCTCATTTTTTTTTCATTTTTAAAGTGGGGATGATAAAAAACTATCTCATGGAGTTGTAAGGACTAAATGAGGGGATGAATTGAAGACCAGTCAGTTCAGCACTTGGAAAATAGTCAACCCAATTGATGTCAGGTATTACTAATATTAATATTATTTATTATAAGACATGTATCACGAATTGTAGTTATATGGGGTGGGGAGGAGGGTTGGGAGACTACACCTTTTATCTGTCTTCTCTAACTCTGTGTATATTCAGTTTTGGGTCTTCTGTGCCTGCTCGCTGAGTTCCTGCCCCATGGTAGACAATCACTAAACATTTGTTGAACATTAAGAAAAAAGAAGTTAGCCCTGACTGGTTTGGCTCAGTGGACAGACCATCGGCCTGTGGACTCAAGGGTCCCAGGTTCGATTCTGGTCATGGGCATGTACCTTGGTTTCGGGCACATCCCCAGAAGGGGGTGTGCAGGAGGCAGCTGATCCATGTTTCTCTCATCGATGTTTCTAACTCTCTATCCAACTCCCTTCCTCTCTGTAAAAAAAAAAATCAATAAAATATATGTTTTAAAAAATAGGAAGTTAAAGTTTCATGCTTTCGCCTGACAACTACTAAATATGAAATTGCTTGGTATTTTGATAACTTCTCTTAAATCTCTAGGTTGTACAGTGTTTACTGTGTGAGTGAGCAGCAAGTGGCTGGATCAAGGTTCCCCATTAACCTAGTGACTGTGAGGCTTCTCCGGAGGCGCTCACTGCTACCTGCTCCCCATTCGGTCTTTAGAGCTGGGGAATCCTTTGTCCTTTCAGCCCAAACAGAACTGGATTACGGCCTACTCCACAGTATGCTGTCTGAGGGAGGGGTCAGGAGTATCCTCCATCACTGATTAGCCTGTCAAGTGATTACACAGAGGAATAAAGCATTTTGATGATTCTGGTGTAACCTCCTGCTTGGGAGTTAATCCCAGATGGTGTGACTCTGGGGTCTACCCACTTCCGACGCCTCCCTGGCCCCAGGCAGACCTCGCCCTGCATAGGGAAGCCCAGCCTGAGGAATGCCCAAGGACAGACACTGGGAAAGCTTTGTTAGGCTGCCTGGGGCTTTCTCCCTTGTAGCAGAGGAATCGCCTTTGGGCACTGGTGGGTCTTGGCTCAGGGGGGATAAAAAGTAAGTCATGGACTTGTAAACAACTGCAAACTTGTATAAATCAATAAGGTACAGTTATACATTGTGCATTGAACCTGCTACTGAATGAAGCTCAATGAAGACTAACTCAGTGTGCAAGTTCTCAGTAAAATGGCAAAGTTAAAGGTTTTTAGGGACTCTGCGCCTCTCTCTTCCCTCTACCCTCACATCCATGGCAAAGAAACTCAGATCTCACTCCAAACCGCAGCGGGTCCACAATTGCTAAAAGACTTCTTATCACCATTTCCCAACCCAATTCCCAGGCCCCTGAGCACCTCACATTTCCCAGGAAGTCTCATTTCTTTTGTGTGAGAAATGTGAAGCCTTGCCCTAACCGGTTTGGCTCAGTGGCTAGAGTGTCAGCCTGTGGACTGAAGTGTCCCAGGTTCGATTCCGGTCAGGAGCTCATGCCCCAGTTGTGGGCTCCATCCCCAGGAAGGGACGTGCAGGAGGCAACCAATCAATGATTCTCTTAATGGATGTTCTGTCTCTTGCCCTCTCCCTCCCTGAAATTAAATAAATATGTATGTATGTATATGTCTATATTAGTATATGTCTATACTAATAATAGAGTAATATGCAAATTGTCTGGGATGCTGTCAAGTAACAATAATGACCAGCAAGCTGCCTGGGGCGTCAAGGAGGGGTCCTGAGAGCTGAAAACAACTGAACAGCAGGCTATGTGAGGCAACCAGGCTGGCAGGGGGCCAGTTAGGGGTGACCAGGCAGTTGGGGCTACCAGGCTGGCAGAGGGCACAGTGAGGGGTGATCAAGCAGGGATTGGGCCTAAATTGGCAGTCGGACATCCCCTGAGGGGTCCTGTATTGGAGAGAGTGCAGGCTGGACTGAGGGGACACCTCCCCCGCCCCATGAATTTTGTGCACCAGGCCTCTAGTATATATATAAAGAAAATGTGAAGCCTGAAAATCTCTCAACCCCTGAATATGTGGCAATTGGATAAAAATGACCTAGCATCTGGTCTTGCCTGGCCAGCCTCTATTGAAAGCCAAGTCGATGTATGCAGGTAGGCTTTACTATCCTTCTGAGGTCCTGAGGACTTCCTGTGCTTTCAGTTCAGTTCACTCCAAACACTGTTCCCAGTGTCCCTGTCCATGCTTGCCCCTTTCTGTGCTTCATGGAGGCTCTTCTCCCAGACCTGCCTATTTTGCCCCCCCCCCCCATCCCCCCAGATCCCCCCATGAGATTCAAGGCCCCTCTGAAGATCTGGTGGACAATGAATATATTTTGAGAGGTAATGTGATGGTTTAATGTTTTATAGGTTCATTTTTACACTAGAGGCCCAAATTTTTTACAAAATTCGTGCATGGGTAGAGTTCCTAGGCCTGGCGGA